CAACTTCGCCGTGCCGCACCCGCACCCCGGCCCTCGGCCGCCCGCCGGTAAGTGAGCGCCGCCGCAGCCCGGGAGGGAGAGAGAGGGGAGCCCCCGCCGGCCTCCCGGTGGTCCGCGCCCCCCGCCCCGCAGCCCTCGCATCCCGGGCTCCGGCGCACGCAGCCCTCCGACCCCTGACGCCTCGGCGAGGTCCGCGGTGCGCCAGCTGCTATCTCGCCGGCCGCCGGCACCCCCACTGCCGCTTGCAGTATGACCAGCAGCCCCCCTGGAGTGCGCGGCTAACGGGAACGGCCCTCTCGGTCCTCGCGTCCTCCTGCTGCGCGCTGCATCCCACCCTGGTCCCGGGCAGGGCGACGGCGGTTGAGTCGGCCCCCGGCTCTGTGCTCGGGCGCGCAGCCTGCCTCCGGGGCATCCCCCAGGACGGGCGGACCTGGCGTCCCCCGGACCTGGAACCCCACTGCTCGCCGTGTGACCTTGGCCAAGTTCGCTGCCCTCCCCGAGCTCCCCATCCGCGTAACGCTTAAGCAGCATTTTTCTCGGCTGAGGTTGCGCCTGGAGGGCACCGAGGAAGGGGTCTCCTCAGGCACCGCTTTGCTCTCCTTCCTGGAGTTGCCGCTGGGGGCCGCTCCCCAGGCGCGGCCAGATCCTGCGCCCGCGCCCATCAGAGCAGCTCTGCCCACGCGGCTCTAACGGGACCCAGAGAGCCGCCTCGATTTTACTACCCACCCCCACGTTCCTATCTGCATCACTTCCATTCCAGATGGCAGGGTCAAGGGGCGCGGTTACCCACAGGCCCATCTGCAGCGCGCCAGTGCCCCCCCCCACGGCGCTCCGGTGCTCCCCACACGGCGCTTCGGTGCCCCCCTACAGGGCGCTCCGGTGCCCCCCACACGGCGCTCCAGTGCCCACGCCGCCAGGCTAGCTGTGCTGTTCACAATGGCATCGTCCACATTTCAGATTTTGTAACACGAGGCGCTACAATAGCCCAGCTGGCCAGGTTGCTGACGGTGCTATTAGTCGTGCTCCCAGCAAACAGGCCGCCTTACACCCTGCCGGGGCCCGGCTGGGCTGTGGCCTCGCTGCCGCTCGCACAGCCACTAAGGGCAGAGCTGAGAGCGTCCCTCCTGCTGCGGGGGACCCGGGCTCTGGCCCCTGTGCAGCCCGCTGACCCTGCTGAGCTGGAGCTTGCTTCCCATGGGGCAGACCTTCGGCATGGAGATGGTGGGTGTTGGGTGTGTGTAGGCATGTGAGCGCATGCACACACATGCGCATGCATGCTCACACACATTCATACACACATGTACATGTGTGTTCACGTGCACACGCACAGTGCACGCACATGCAAAACATGCGCACACACGCACATAAACGTGCGTGTGCACACACATGCACACCCGCACACATGCACACACAAACATGTGCGTGCACGCTCATACACATGTGTGCGCGGTGCACACGCACAGTGCACGCACATGCAAAACATGCACACACACGCACATGCACACACAAACATGTGTGCGTGCACGCTCATACACATGTGTGCGCACATGCATGCACACACATGCACACGTGCACACATGTATATGCACACCCGTGCACACGCTCACGCACACACATGCATGCACACATGCACATGCACACACAGCCTGGTTCTGCGTGGGCTGGGTCTATGAAGCCTGTGAGAGAGATGGACGGCCCTCGTCAGACAGCAATAATAATATAACGAGAGGGAAGCTTCCTGAACAGCTTGGGGAAACTCAAGATAAGGACAGAAATCCAGACACTAGGGCAGGAAAGGGAGAGCTGGAGAGAGGGGTGATGTGGCGCCAGGGGAAGAGAGGGGAGACCGCTGAGCTCTCGCGGTTAGGGATGGAGCAGCGGGCCCAGCTCGGAGGAGAAGGCGGAGCGGAGGTGGGCGGGTGCGGGGGATGGAAAAGGCCAAGGCCTGGGTCCCTGGCTCTGAGTCCGCTGCGGGACGAGGACGCCCAAGTCTCTCAGGACTCCCAGCTGTACCAGGAGGGGCTGAGCCCAAGCTTGGCGTGACTGGCGGGGGCGGCTGGCAGAGCTCTCCGACTGTGAGGACCAGACAGCCAGGGTCACCTCCTGGCCTCTCTGGTCAGTGACTCCCCTTCCCAGGGGTGGAGGTGGAGCACCCTCCATGCTCCAGGGCAGCCAGGTCTGAGGCTGAGGGCCTGCTCCCTTCAAAACAGAGGTGACGGGGGGTCCGGGTGTTGGTCCTAGAGTGGCTCCAACTATATGGGTTTCTGGGCCACCCGTCAGAGAGCTGGGAGCCGGGTCTGTGAGCAGCTCCAGCTCCGGCCCACGGCAGGGGAGGGGGCTGGGAGAGGCCTGGCACAGGACCTGACACAGCTCAGATGCATGGCCAACAGTTTCCCCAGCGCCTGAAGGCAATGCCTGCCTGCACCAAATAGTTCCCCCTCCCCCAGAAAACAGCCCTCCCAGGGGCCCCCATGTCCACCGCTGGTCTTAGCTCCTCTGATCTGGCTCTTCAGTGACGCCCTGGGCATCTGGCCCTGGCTATTCCTTCCCCAACTCTGACCCTGAGGAAAGGATGGTCAGCCATAGTGGGGGAGGGGAGGTCACAAAGGTGAGGAGGCGTCCCCAGGAGGGGCTGGGAAGATCGAGGCTGAGCAATGGGCCTGCAGTGGGAGTGCGCAGCCCGCGCTCACAGCCCGATTTCTAGGAAGTCATGCCTGCGGTCTAACCTTCATCCCTCCTTGCAGCCCTGGTCTGGTCCATGGCAGACCTGGGTCTCCGTGGTCTTCCAAGCCCAGCCCGACCCTCAACGATGACGTTGGACACTAGCTCTGCAGCCTTCCCCATGGGGGCACGTTGGCCTGGTGTCTGACTTGGCTTTGCTGGGGACTCAGGGTCAGCCCTGTCCCTCTCTGGGCCCTGTTTCTCAATGTCACAGCCCCATCTCTCCATTAGGAGCGTATAAATGCTTTGAGATCTTCAGAAGAATATTCTGGGTTCTCACAGCCCTTCTGACAGCCACGGGCAGGAGGGAGACGGCCCCTCCCATTTATTCTCGCCTTCCCCCTTAACCCACCCC